TTGGATTTGGTTTAATTTTCCTCAACTTCAGCTTGAACTTGCATATGAGTAGTTGGTGGTCTGTTCCACAATCAGCTCCTGGCCTAGTTTACACAGCTGATATTGAGCTTCTCCAACAGTTCTTTCCACAGATGTAATTGATCTGATTCCTGTGCATACCATCTGGTGAAATCCTAGTATATAACCTGCGTTTATGTCTCTTAAAAATGTATTTGCTATGAATAAATCATTGATTGTGCAAAATTCAATCATTCTCTCTCCAGCTGCATTTCTGTCACCAAGTTCATGTTTTCCAACTACTGAATCTTCTTCTCTGTTCCCAACTTTTGCATGCCAGTCACCCATTATTATCAATGCATCTTGATTGCATGTTCGATCGATCTCCGATTGTAAAAGTTGGTAAAAATCTTCTATATCCTCTTCCTTGGCTCTGGTTGTTGGTGCATATATCTGAATGATAGTGGTATTGTATTCACTGGACTTCCTTGTATGCGTATGGATATTATCCTGTCACTGACAATATTGTACTTCAAGCTGGATCTAGCAATGACTTTTTTAACAGTTATTATTAGCTTTTAAAAATTGAATAAGAAAAGGCACAAGAAACAGATTTTATTAGTAGCTTAAGAAATAATTTCACAAGGAAAGTTTCTTGCAGTAGATAGAAACGTTTTGTGTCTTTTAGTAGCTTGCAGTTATTATTTCTCTAGACCTCAGAACCTTCCCCCCCACTCCAGCATACTGTAAGACACAGAGTAAGAAATATGAATACTTTGTTAGTTTTGTGACAATGACATGATTTATTTACTGTCTAGTAGTCTCCTTTAAATAGCACGGAACTTTTATGTGAAATGGTTTATTTTAGGGCTCCTGAGATTAAAGCATTTTATATCAAAGATAACTCTCATAATTAGCTGAAAGTCCAATTGCTAAACATTAAACTTAGTAGTTGTTGATCCCATCTTATAGTAGAATCCTTCCCTGCTCCCCCAGACCCTGTATGCAGAAGAACTGCCCTGGAGGGTTTCCTGGCTTTTTCTTTATGGGGAAAAGATCAATAGGTCTTTTCTCCGGTGTAGTGCTGGTGGATTAAGCCACTGACCTTTCAGTTTGCATGTAACCATTGTGCCACCAGGATTCCTTCCTTAAACCTAGACTGCTTTATATTTCTACATATTTTAATCATAAATAGCAGTGAAAGGTAATTTCATAAATAAAATTTATTTGAAGTTGAGTATTTCAATTATATACAGTCAGTAATAATGACCTTACTGGGAAATCCTAGTTGATCAGATTCTTGAATTATTCAAGAAAGTTTAAGTCCCTCGTTAGAAAATACATCTCTGATTAAATGATATTTAGCTTGTCAGTATACCTTCTTCTCAACTATTTACATTAGTTATTAACAGAGGAAAGCTGAAGTTTCTGTTTTCTTTTTTTTAGCCAGAGGAAAACACATGCCCATATGTGTACGAGCAGACTAGAACAGCTTTCCAATACACAGTACAATTCAGTGTGGCATGGTTTGAAATTTATATGAGGTCAGATTATCCATGAGCATGCTCCCTTAAAAAACATTTTTTTATTTTAATTGAGATTGTAACAAAATTTGTAGAGAACTTGGATTTCTATTCATTCATTTTTGCACATTTTCCTCCCTACCCTCCCTAGTTTGCTTTTCTCTTTGATAAACATCCTTTCATTTTTGCACAATTACCTCCTCTCCTCCCCAGTCCACTTTGTTACCTCTTATTCTGGAATGTTGTCATGCAAATGATACCTAAACATACATTCTTTTTAGATAGTTGCCCCCTCTCATCTGTTTCAATGCAGTGTACATTATTTATCCCCTCTTTTCTTAGTTTTCCCTCAACCCTCATGTCAGTCCTGTTTTATACCAGTGGCATTATTCAGTATTTGTCCTTTTGTGACTGAGATATTTCACTTAGCATAATAACCTCCAAGGTCACCTATTTTGTATATTTTCTAAGTTCCTTGTTTTTCAGTGGTGCATAGCATTCCACTTTGTGAATATACCACAGCTTCTCTATCCATTCGTTTGTTGATGGATAAAAAACATTTATTAATAGCCTGATGGAACATGACTTCAATCATAATTCAGGGGAAGTGTTTTCTTTCTCAACTCACATATTATCTTCTTTATAAGCTAAAAATACTACATATGTAATAACAGGAAGACACCAGCTTGAGCTGTGATGTGCTGGTCAAAACATGTGTTGGTAAAACATGGAATGGCTTTCATTTTTCTTATATTTGGATGAAATTGGCAGCCTTTGGCTTAGGAACACCTGAGTTTACCAGTTGAATAGTCATTTGTTATTCTATTGTGTTTGAAACTTGAATTTTTAATTTTTTTTTGTTTGTGTGCTTTCATGAACTCTTGAGTATATGGGAGTGGGAGAAAAAGTACAGAACTGGGGGCTAGGGCCTTGTTTTTTAACTCCATTGTTCATTTCTCACTTTGGACAAATCACTTGACTTTGATAGACCTCTGTTTATGTAAAACTTAGGAAATAATATAAATTTGATAAAATGATCCAGGAGTCCTGGGGAGTCCTGTGGTATAATCTGCAGCAAGTTTTGCTACTAACTCAGCTCAAGATTCCATCCTAATTTTAAGTGCTTTGATTACACCCCCCCACCCCCACCCCCCGATGGCCTAGTGGCAAGAAGCTGCGCTGCAATCCCTAAGGTACGATTCTGTCCAACTTTTAAGTGCCTTCATTACACACACACACACACACACACACACACACACACACACACACACACACCCCACACCCGATGGCCTAGTGGCAAGAAGCTGCTCTGTAATCTTGAAGGCATGCAATTTGAACCAACCAGATGTTCCGAGGGAGAAGGACAGGCAGTCTTCTCCCATGCGGTTATCTGTGTCTGAAAACCCACTGAAGTGTCAGCTATGGGTGGTTCCAACTCTGCGGTATACAACAATATATATATATGCATATATTAAGCCTCAAGTGGTTGATTTACTAGCTTTTAATCTTGAATTGCAAAGGCGTGGTGAGTAGCTACAGAATATTCCCAGTAGTGATTAGCCATGACAAGGATCTATGCTACATATAAATAAGGTGAATGGTTTAACACAGGCCTATTGCCTCTCTTTTGGAAGATGAACTAGCTAAGTAATTTGTTGCCTTTGGGTTGGAATCAACTCACAGCTGACCTTCTAGCCGATTGTTATAGGCTGTAAATTCTAGGGGAGGAGATAGCCCATCTTTCTCCTGTGGAGCAGCTGATAGATTTGAACTGTCTGCCTTTGGATTGGCAGCACAACTTCTTACCATTAGGCAATCAGATCTCCCTTTTGGAAGATGACCAAAAATAAGCATGCACTTGATAACTGGTAAGTACTACTACTTAAAAAAAGGGAGTTCTGGTGGCCTAGTGGGTAAGGAGTTGTGCTGCCACCATCTTTCTCCCGTAGAGCAGCATCCATCAGCTGCACTGTGGGAGAAAGATGCGTGGTCTTCTATGCGATTTACATCGTCCGAGAACCTGCTGGAGGGAGGTCAGTTATGAATCCGTTCCAGCTTGACGGCCCGTAACAACAGCAACTTAACTTGAAAAAGCAAATTCAACAATGACATTTTTTTTTGTGGGGAGTGATGAATTATAATAAATGGAAATTCTTTTTTTCCTAGATGAGATTACTGAAGCCAAATCAGGAACTGCTACTCCACAAAGGTCAGGATCAGTGAGCAACTATCGATCTTGCCAAAGGAACGACTCGGATGCTGAGGCGCCAGGAAAGTCCTCAGAAGCCTCTCTTACCTCATCTGTAACCTCACTTGACTTTTCTCCTGTTGACTTAGCTCCAAGACCTGGAAGTCACACGATAGAATTTTTTGAGATGTGTGCAAACCTAATTAAAATTCTTGCACAGTAAACTCCAAACTTTGCTTATTTCTTTGATAGCAATAAGCATGCATAAATCATAGCCAAATGCTTCTATTTGTAATCAAGTTATACATAATTATAACTGAGAATTGGCCTTTTAGAATGCAATTTGCACAAGAATTGAAACATGATTAATAGTTAAAGTCTAATGTGCAAAAAATGAATTAAGACATTTTGTTGTTTGTTCTGTAGGCACCTAGTGTAATATACATAATGAATTATAGGTCTCAGGCTCACTTGATTTATGGCAATTTTTTTATTTAGTGTACAGGGCTTTGCAGAATATAAATTTACCACAAAGGCCTTTGTATTATTATTTCTTAATATTTTACACATTTGCTTCATAAATTAATTAAATAACTCTATACCTAGAAGCTCCAGAAACCCTTATAGGTTTTTTTCTGGGCTCCCAGTAGCAACTATCTTCCAGCAGAAGTAACTGTCTGGATAATTTTGATACCCCCACATTACTATTTATAGTATATTGTAAGTTGTAGAAAAGATATTAAGCAATTTAAAATTTCTCTTTAGCTTTTTAAGTCCAAAACACAGAACTTACATAATCAGGTACTCTCTAGGCACTAAATTTATTATTATATCCAACTTTATCTATATATAAAATACTCTTTTTGTCATAAAAGCAAAATTGCATATACTGTACATAAATCATGGTTTTTCTCTCCCAGTTTCACAAATAGCTTACCATGTCAGCAAGTACTGAATGTATAGAAGAATTTCTAGTTTATTTGTTCATGTATCTTTTAAAAATACTCAGTGCACAAAAGGATCATCTCTGAAAAACTGTAAATGTTCAAATATAACTCCCCCCAAATTTAGTTAGGAATATTTTTAAAAACAGAAAAATTAGAAGATCAGTGGATTGATTACGTGTGTAGTTAGCATTTTAATTCAACAGCTGTTGACAGTTTTCCAGATGCCTGTATATATATATAGAGAGAGAGATGTATGTATACCCTTTTTTTTCTGCCTGGACCATTTGGATGTTGCAGATATACTTGTCAGCCCTAAATACTTCAAGCATTCCTAAAAATAAGAACATTTCCCCACAAAGGTGTACTAACTACTATATACAATTATTAATTCCCTAACAGTATCTAATAGTTGGTCCATATTAGGATTTTCCTAGCTGCCCTCCAGATTTTTGAACCAAGATCTAGTTAAGGTTTACACAATGCATTTAGCTGGTATGTTATCATTTTTATTGCTGTCCTTTTTTTTTTTTTTTATAATATATGGGAGCTCTCAGGACTTAGTGGTAAAGAGTTGTGCTGCTAATGCAAAGGCAGACAGTTCTAATCCACTAACTGCTGCAAGTGGAAAAGATAGGCAACCTCCCATGTAGTTTATAGCCTCTGAAAATAATCCACTGGAGGGTCAGCTATGAGTCACTTCCAACTTGACAATACATAATAACAAAAACATATGGGAGCTAGTTCTAAATGATCACCTTTTCTGACTTTGTTTTGGGTTTTATTATTTTAGAAACATTATTATTATGGGAACTATATAAAGATTCATAAGCCTTCCTTTGGCTTTTTTTTTTTAACAGCTTTTCAATTTTTACTTTCAGTAATATTACATAACAGGGGTGAATGAAGTTTTAATGCCACCCTAGATAAAACTTAACGGGTATATACTAATAAAAAAATAAAACCCACACTTGTTTTCTGCTATGAAAATGTCAAGAAATTTATTTTTTCAAAATTAATCAATTTTCCATTGTCACAAGGCTGGTTTTTTGGCCTACTTTTAGAATCTTTATACCTTATATTGTTTTTGGCAAAAATAGTGAGCCACGTAGATAATCAGATAATACTATTTAAATATCATGTTAGCTTACATAAATGTGTTAAATCTCTGGTTGTAGATTTAGCTTCAGCATCCCTGGAAACATGCACTGAATTAAAAATAAACATCTTTTTTTACCCAGGGCTTGTTAAGAATTTGGAAGCTTTACAAATAATAAGTACTCAATTTAAATATAAGTTCAAAATGGTATCTACCATAACTTCTATGTACCCTCTGTTTTGGGGCTATGGATTTCACTTAGGCATTATATTCTGATATTAAGAGCTGAAGACTGTATTTTTAAAGTTAAAGATTTGTATATAGAATAAAGATAATGTTGGTTGTAATGTCTCTATAAGCTGTTGTTAGATGGGGAAGGAATAAAAGAGGACCTTCTGAAAATTGTTAATTTTGTAAACTTTGCTTCTTTTATAAGTTATTGTGAACCTTTTAGTTACTGAGCTTTATTTTGAAAATATTTCAGTATTGCACTTGTACAATAGTATAATAAAAAATGCAGATTATTGTAGTAAATTCTTTTTTTTAAGCTGCGGTATTTGAAATGACAACTTCTGATTTAGTATATCAAGGTTGCATCAGATTATCACAAATATTAATTGTGAAGATGTTGGGAAGTCAGTACAAATGATTTTTAATCTTTTTTCAGTATCTTTCAGTAATTTCTATTTTTTGTGATTTTTATGCAGCCATATTTTTACTTTGTTTTGACAACTGAAAGATGTATAAGGTTTTTGCCAGAAATGTACTGTATTCATAGTTTTAAATATAACAGATTTTACTGATATGTAAAAATTTTGCCATTAAAGTAAATGACTTCTCACTGAGGAATTTTTCTACCAGGTTGGGGGGATATGGGAGCTTAATATATCATTTCTAATTTAAAATAATTTCACAGAAATAAACTCCATTACTTTTATTTTGATTATATTTTTCTTGAAGTGTTTTTATAGTTTTTCAGAGTTTTAGCTGATTTTTTATACAGAAAGCCCACTTGCCGTCCCTACTCTTTTTGACGTCATGGTGATACTGTTCCCATTGTGTTAATGCAGGCTGGTTGTGCTCTGACCAGCACCTTTGGAGTGATAGGAAAGTGTGTGCTGTTTGTTTCAGTGTTTTCCTTTTACTCCCTTCCCTGTGTGCTTGTCCACAACTGAAATTTCATATTCATTGTGAGCTCTGACAAGATGAAATTCTACATACAACATATCATACCATATAAATTGGTAGGAAGGTATAAGTCAATCTTTGTGGTGCAATATTTCTGAGAAGTGTATGTTTAAATAGAGTATATTGAAATATATAAATTTTGAAATAAATACCTTGATTTAGATGGTATAATAAAGAAAAACATTTTTCACTTATTACAATGTGTTTACTTTTTAATCTTTGGGAAACTTAACTGGAAAAAAATGCTAATTTATGGCTCACCATCTGTACAAGGTTCAGATCTGTTCATAAGGTTGCTGTGAGTCATGGATGGCTGGAAGGCACCTAACAACATGCGGCTCTACAGTCAACACTTATGGAAGCAGCATTCAAGAAATTGAAAATGGAGCAGAAAATAAAAGTTTCGCAAATCTGCTGTCAAGGATTTCTTTAAATTACTAGAGATCAAGTATGTCAGTTTAAAGATGTATGGTGTGCCTGACCCAAGCCAAAGTATTTTCAACAGCTTCCTAAGCATGTAAAAGTTGGACAGTGAATAAGGAAGACCAATGAAGAATTGATACCTTTGAACTGTGATGTTGGTAAAGAGTCTTGAATGTACCATGGACTGCCAAAAGAACAGATAGAGGCAAAGATGATGGTGAGGCTTATTGTCACATACTTTAGAGGTGCTGCCAAGCAGGACTACTAGTCCACGAATAAAGACATGCTGGGGAAGATAAGAGTTTTTTTAGGAAAGGAAAGCTTGACTCTCAAGGAGATTGACTCAGTGACTTGGACAATGTACTTGAGCATAAGAGAGATTGTGAGATGCTAAGATTTGGCAAGTGTTTGATTTATTGTAGACAAGAGTCCTTAGGAGTTGGAGTCAACTAAATGTACCTAACTGGCTAATGATCTTGGCCCTTTCTTCATGTGTTTGTTGGCTATATGAAGACAGTCACATGTCTTTGGTGACGTTTCTTTTCATGTCCTCTGTGCACTTGGCTGTCTTTTTCTTGTTGAGGTGTTGAAGTTTTCTGGAAGTTTTAGAGTCCCTTGTCGGATTTGTTGTTAATAATTTTCTCTAATCTTCAGGTTCTCTTTACTCTTTTGGAGAACTCTTTGTGATCCACAAAAGAATCAGGTTTTAGAAGTACTTCTATCAGACATCATGTTAATAATTTTCCTTGCCTCACTTAGGACATTCTTAAGTGAACTGACTGTATGATTTTTCTTTTGAGAATGTGGTAGAAAACAGGACTACAAGGGTACAGCAGCTTGGTGTCATGGACTGCAACATGCAAGCAGTCATAACTCTTAGGATTGCACCTTTGTATTAGTTTGAAAGTTGTAAATTAGAGGGCTTAATACGTAGGGTATTGGTAGCTCTGGTGGCTCTAAAGTATACACTTAGGAATTATTAAAATGATGGTTGATAGACTATGAGTTCTAAGAATCAGATTCCTATGTAGATAAAAAATACTTCTCCAAGAGATTAAAAAGAGAAACTATAGCAGTGATGTAAATTGCACCTGATTCAATCTCTTGCTATGCATTTGAAAGCTGGGTAATGAGTAAGAGATGTAAGGATGTAAGAGAGTAAGGATGATGGGAGAAAGAATCGATGCCTTTGAATTGTGTTGGAGAAGAGTGCTGAATATCCCACAGACTGCCAAAAGAACAAACACGTCTGTCTAGGAGAAAGTGTAGCCAGAGTGCTCCGTAGATACAAGGATGGTGAAACTTCTCACATCCTTTGGGCATGTTGTTAGCAGGGGTTACTCCTTGGAAAGGGGCATCATAGTTGGAAAGTGTAGGGTCAATGAAAGAAGACGACCTTCAACAAGATGCATTGACATAGTGACTGCAGCAATGGTTTCAAGTATGTCAGATGATGAGGACGGTGGAAGATAGGACAAGGTTCAAATCTCTTGTTCATAGGGTCCCTATGGGTCATACTTGACTACACATAACTACAATGTTTGGAGAGATTTTTGTTGTGACTAGGAGTGGTGGGAGTGTGTGTGGGTTGTTACTAAATGACAGTACTCGGGTGGCCTAGTGGTAAGGAGTTGTGCTGCAAATCCAATGACATAAGATGTGAATCCATCAGCTGCTCTGCAGGAGAAAGATGGGCAGTCTCCTTCCTTGTGATTTACAGTCTCTGAAAACCCACTGTGGGTCAGCTATAATTGGATTCCCACTTGATGGTACATAATAACACAAAGGGCGGGCAGCTCCTATAACTAAGAATTCTCTGTCCAAAATAGAGTGAAGGCTGATACAAGATAAGCTCAAATTCACTCCCATCGAGTTGGAGTTAGTTCTGACTCACAGAGACCTTCTGTGGGAAAAATTGCAAGGAGAGGAGACTGCCCATCTTGGGAGGAGCTTATGGATTTCAGCTGTCAGAGGCACATAATTTTTGAGTTAGCAGTGCAGCTAAACAAGCTACATGAATAAATTAAGCAC